TCAATGAGCACAGGCATTATCCCTTCTCTGAACGCTGACATGAAAAAAACTAGTAAGCATCTTTTGTTTTCTTTTATAGTTCAATATGAGAATGAGGAGCACTTCTAGTAAGTATATATTTCCTTAAGCTTTTTCCATCTTAGGATTACTATAATGAGAGTTGCTCATCTCTCACTACCATTGCTTTCGGTTTTCATAATTGTTAATGATTGATCTTAGTTCCAATTTTGCTAACTCTAACAAATTGTTGCCTTTTTTTTTGCATCTTGTTGTCTTATTTAGTACGTATTGCTGATCGTATATTATGCTTAAAGTTTAGTAATATTTGCGTTCTAACAATAGATCACCCTAGTGTATAATATTTGTATCATTAAACCTTATTTGTAAAATTTGGAGTTTATATAGATCACCCTAGTTTAGTAATATCTGCGTTGTAAGTAAAATTTCAACTCTAAACTACAAAATAAAACAACTAAGCTAAGAATGGCCATTCTTAGCTTAGTTGTTTTATTTTGTAGTTTAGAGTTGAAATTTTACTTATTTATAGGAAAGATGTACTAAGTTGAAGTAGTGTGTATTTAATTACTGTAATGTCCACTTTGCAGGTGAAGTATGATAGAAGCAAATGAGGTTTCAAACGATGAAGTTCGTAGCATAAGAACGGGTTTCATTCTGTGCAAGTCTACAAAAGAAGATATTTGAAGGCTCTAGGAAGTGTGGTGTAAAAGTTAGACATATTAGCGTTTTTTTCTTGTATATTAGTTGTTGTTTCCGGGTGTGCCCCCATGAATTATGTAGTATGTACATTCACATTTATGTGAGAAATTGAGATATAAATAAAAATCTTTGAATTTTGGTTATTTATTAGTATTAAATTATATTACATGTATATAATATATATATATATATATATATATATATATGTATGTATGTATGTATGTATGTATGTATATTGAAATATATATATATACTTATGATACTAATGTATCATATATCTTTATGATACCAAAGTGTCAAAAAAAGTTATGATATTATAACGTTATAATTTTAGGTGATATTTTATTGTCATATTTTTGCGACACTAATCTGTTTAGCAACCAGTGACACTAAATTTTGTGTCACTTGCCTCCATTGTCTGTGACACTTTCAGAGTGTCACCAAATCATTTAGTGACAATAATTTAATGTCACTATAAGCCATTTTTTACTAGTGTCTTCTTGTCTTCATCTTCATCTTCATATACCTAAAAGCACTACATATGAGAGAGAAAATTATCCAGCTCAATTGTGAGCGGACTTATCTTATAAGGAATACTTAAAAGAACAACATATGAGAGGGAAAAAAAGAACAACATATGAGAGATAAAGTTATCACAATCAATGCATGGTTAGTAAACTTATCTTCTAATACCTAAAAGCACTACTTATGAGAGAGAGAAATCACATCCTCAATATTCTAGCTCAATATCTAAGAGCACTATATATGAGAGAATTTTTTTTCCGCTCAATTATTAGCAAGCTTATCTTCTTCTTATACCTTAAACTACTACATATGACAAATAAAATTCTCCCGCTCAATTGTTATCCAACTTATCTCATAACTAAAACTACTATATATGAGAGAGAAAATTCTCCCGCTCAATTATTAGCAAACTTATCTTCTTATACCTAAAACCACTACATATGAGAGATAAAATTCTCCTGATCAATTGTTAGTCGGCTTATTATTTTTTTTACTCCAGTGGGGGGCTGGGGGAGGGGGGTTGGGGGGAGCCTGGAGTAATCAGGGCTGAAACTCACTCCATTGAGTTTCAAACCCTTGTGTGCCTAGCGGGATTCAAACTCGAGACCTCCCACTAGGCACGGTAACCTCGCAACCAGCTAGGCTGGAGTGCTTGGTTAGTCGGCTTATCTTATAACTAAAAGCATTACATATGAAAGACAAAAGTACTCTCCTCAATTGTTAGTCAGTTTATCTTATTAAAAACTTCATATTTTCCAACCATGATAAGTATAGTGGATAAAATTTTGACTTATTTACTTTTAGTGGTTATAATTATATTTTAGTTTTATATTCCGCATCAAAGTAACTATAAGTAAGAACCTCTCCAATAGATATTTGTAAATAAAAAATTGATTAAGTTGGTTATGAGTACAATTTTAATTATAGTCACTTTGATATAATTTTAAACATAGTTATAGTTATCAAAAGTTAATATGTCATACTTTTAGTCGATATCCTTATTTGGGGGTGTTTGGTTAGGAGTCTATTAGTCAAAATTTGGCTCATTTGACCAATTTTGGCCTTTTGACTGGATCAATCAGCTACGAAAAGTGATTTGTTAAATGGCTTTTCATTTGACTTTTTATCCCAAATAGCCAAAATAGAAAAATGCTATCAAATGTAGCGGTTTGGTACAACTTTTCCTTATTTTTCATTGACTACCCACGCAGACCATGCCCCTTACTTTGGGCCTCCTCCCGGTCTTCAACTCACCGAAGAGAGAAACAAAAATGCAGGAAGCAAGCATGCATGTTATAAAATATTCTTTTCTATCTTTTTTAAAAGTCATATGGAGAAGGTTCAAGTTTTGTGCATTTATTAAAATATGCCATGTACTTTTTTATGTCAAAATAATGATGATGATGATCATGATGGTGATGATGATGGTATTAATAATAATTATTATTAATATTATTATTGAAGCTAAAAATTAATTGATGTCCTTAATAGTCATTTAACAAGTTATCAGTTGACTGTAAATGACCATTTAACCAAACACTATTTTACGAACTGTTAATATTATCAGCTAATCAAAACAGGCAATAGAATCTGTTGTTATGAATCGGCCAACACAATCGGCCAACAGCTAACAACAACTTAACATCCAATTGCCAAACACCCCCTATGTGTAATACTTTTGTCACTTTTTACTTGTGTGTATTTTTATGATTATACTTTTACATGAATTCTATCTCCCACACTCATATTGGTTTTCATGTATTGGAAGTGTTTGTAATCATTGGAAACCTATAGTGTAGAATGTGTTCCTGCCTTCCTGGTAGTTGTTAAGTGCGGGTGATTTAATTATTTACATAGCTAATGTATTTTAAAATATTTGAGCTTTGATCCAAATCGAAGTCAAAGACCGGTGCTCTTTGGCAACCAAAACTCATATCCTTCATATATTAATATTCATTATGTGGTCAAAGTTTCTCAAAAACCATTTATAGTATAATTACGCAAAAAAGTTTGCATATAAGTCGCAATGATCAAATTCAATCCCAATTGAAGAATGGGTTTCATTCCAAACCATTTCTTTCTCCTTCTCCTCTTTCCTCTCTCTTTTCTCCTATTCTCAAGCATTTCCTTCTCAGATGCCACACCTAATATCATTCGCCATTTTCAAGATGAACAAGTTTATGGTATTTTACTAATTTTTATATTTCTTATTCGTCATGTATGTAAACATTTTTTCTCACATTTAGCCATTTAAATTCCATCTTATTGGATAATTATGTGGGTTTTAATGCCATTGCATGCAACTAGAAATTCACCTACAACATTATCATTATCATTTTAAAATATTATTGATGATAATAATTATTAGAGTTCACAATTTTCATATTTTGAGAATATATTCTTTTTGAGAGTGATCCATAATTAACTATTTCATATTTTGTGTTCTTGGATATGATTTGGTGTAATGTTAGCATTTGATGGTGAGAGACTAATGGTGGGATGGAAAATGATGAAGATCACGGCTGAAACGCCCATCGTAAATTCGAATAATTTGATTTTGGCGGCAGAAAGGACTCACCGAAGAGATCCTACTAATAATTTTCGGTACTACATCGGTGGCTGGAACCCTTCTAATCCACATTATTTATTTGTAAGTTTTCTGTGACATAAAATGAACGCTATATGCTTCATGCAATTCTTGAATAAATCATTGAGAAATTTTATTATGCTTTGAGGCATAATAATGCATGAATGTAGCATGCATTTACCCACAACTATATGTTGTCAAAATAGAATTGGTAAAATGAATTTGCTTTAGGGATTCTACAAATTATATAGTAATGGTACAAGTAATAAAATTTAGGCAAATTCTACTGTAACCTTAAGATAATGTACTTTATCCATACTAATCAAACAAAATTTTGCAACTAAACACTTACAATATTAATAACTGATGAAATAATGATGTGGATCAATCATATGTGTTATGTCACAATTTTTATGGGACACTGTAGCATGAAACTAAAATTTATCATCATTTTCTATACTAAACGTACAAGTGTTATAGGGTTGACCTGTGTTAATAAATATGGAACATCACAGTCGGTTAACCCAAAACCTACCTTGATTATCCAAACAAGAAAAAAACTAGAATTGTGTTCTATTCGAACTGGCCCGAATCAGTTAAACTAGGTTCTGGATCTTCTTTCGAAATGAGCATGATATTAGTGCAAAATCTCCTTAATTTGGAGAGTTTCCGTATGCACAAAATTCATGCAAAAGCTAGTTGGTCGCATATGGACCCCAAATATCCATAAATGCTACTCCCTATGTCCATAAAATCTCCTTAAGAACTCCCTCTATAAGTTGAACACAGATTTCTATCATAACTAAGTAACCCTTGGAAATATATCATTTGTACAACTTATGTGTAGCTAGCTATGGCATAATACTTAAACAAAAAATGGTTTTAACTTGTCATTTCCATTTATTTCCTTCTAATATGCACTCTTCTTCGATGTAAAATGATCTACTTTACAATAACAAGGTCCTTATTTCCAGCATAATGTACATTATTTATATAAGCTCCCTTTTAGAGGTTATAATGAGAATTACCATATCCACGTCGTCATTGACAAATAGCTTGGTAGAGATGCCCAACAAAAGCTTCTCACCGGTAGCGGTTCTTACTCTTTGTTACATGATTCTAAGGTTATTTTTAATTGTTGTTAGATGCTCTTAGTTCCTCTAATTTTGATGCATTATCGATTTTTGTTTCCACTTATCATCCATCATAAAATTAATTAGTTGTCTCAAATATGACCATAAAATCTTACATAAAGTTATACACTTTGAGTGAAAACTATTATTTTTGTAGGACATCATGGCATTTGCATCAACTTTTACCCAAAAACTCTTCATTCATATTTAAATAACTAAATGGTAAAATGAACCATAATGATGAAAACTAAATAGGAATGCAATCCAAGGAAAACAATAACATTTGATAAAAAATAGTTTGTGGATGAAAAGTAATAAAAATATTTTTAAGTTCAACAATACATTGTGTAACAATGTCTCTCTCCCCTCTCCTATCATGAGATTGTTAGCAAGTAAATTAGTTCAGTTTCACATTTTATGAGATTGTAACCATGAATTTTGACCTTATTCACTTCTCTTTTTGTTGTGTCAAAATTTATTATAACGAAGTCAGCATGCTATGCTTCCCTTGGGCCTTTCCTCGTCACAGTTTTATGGTTCATCGTATTTGCACTATGGTTGTTTTGTATGTGTATGTGTTGTTGTTGCGGTTCACGCCATACTTACGGCTATTCTCAAACTGCCTATACCTTGTCTCTAACTTTCCTCGTCCTTTTCACTCTTGCGGTCATGTAAGCTTCTTCCTCAACAATATTATCTCATTTTTCTTGTTATGTTATTTCATAAATCTAGATTCCACTTTGTAACATATTCTGTTTTTTCATAATGTACTCAGAGTAGGAAGTGTACTCACATGTGTTGCACAAGCAAGATTTGAGACAAGTGTTGGTAATCTTATCAGCTATATTCTGCATAGAGCAGATACAGTCGCCATTAGCCTTATGGACTTGTTCAATAATATATTAGCAGCCAAGGATGTTGGGATTCAAAATATCATTTTACCTGAAAAACAGAGGAATGATGTTGAACAAATTCAGAATAAAATCAATGGAGTGTATCATAGTTTTCGCGACATTACTACCAAGAATGGAAATGGTATCATAAGTTGGCTAAATCCACTGTGAGAACTTCACTTCTTTTATTATATTATATCTAAAATTTTCCTAAAGTGTTCTTGAAAGTTAATGAATTGCATGTTTTATTTGTTTTAGAAAACTAATCCTCACTACCATAGCTGCAATCATGATTGTTGTGGCATTGCTCGGGCTTGGTATGTTTATCTTTCTTTTATCCTTTTTAACAATAAGTTATTTCATAAAAACAATGAATGTGACTTAAATTAAAGTCATGTTTCATGTATTACAAGCATATCATAAGTATAATTCTCTTATTTTCTTTTTGGTTAAATTCTTCTTGCAGTATTTTCAGTGATTGGAGTTGAGTGTCTTGTGTATAGGTATGTAAGTTTTATATGTCAAATCGGATTTGGTTCATCATATTTGATGTGATAGCCATTAAGCCATTGTAAATAGACCAAAAACACAAATAAAATTAATGTATAAGACCTCGAACTTCTCTCTTCCATGAAGTTGCTCTTTTAGATCAAATCCACAAATCTTACTTCTAACAAGGTACATTTGCAATTGCAGCTTAGCAATGGTTGGATGGATCATTGTAACTATAACATTTATTATGAGCGGCATATTTCTCCTTGTAAATAAGTATGCTCTCTTTTAGCTACATTCACATCTTAAACCATTCTTCAGTTTTTTTTTTGTGTTTATACATTAGTAATATAGCTTAGTCTTGTACTCTAAATCCACACATTGCAGCCTTGTTGGAGACACATGCACTGCCATGAATGAGTGGACGCAAAATCCAACTGCAGATTCAATTATAGAGAATATAGTCCCTAATGTAGATAATCATATTACTAGACAAATTTTGTCTGCAACAAAGGATGTGACTTATGGAGTGATAGAGGTGGCAAATACTTATATTTCTAATGTCTCCAACGCAAATGGGACTTCTAACACAAGCGTATTGTACTATAACCAATCAGGTCCATTGGTGCCATTCCTCTGCAATCCTTATAACAAGGATGGTACTGACAGACAATGTGCACCAAATGAAGTTAACTTCAAGAATGCCTCACAAGTATGAGCTTTCTATTATAGTGAATTTGATTTTTTTTGTAATGGTTATGTCTACTGTAAAATGTTGTACAAACATGCAGGTTTGGGAAAAACATGTGTGTCATGTTTCTTTTACTGGGAGTTGTGACACCCCTGGCCGATTAACACCAACGGGTTACAAGCAAATCATAACACTTGTTAATGTTAGCTCCGGTCTTTATGATGGGATACCATTTGTGATCGAGCTCATGAATGGCACTTTTCTCACAAAAACATTGTTTGACTTGAGCAAAGACTTTTGCTCAGGTCTAGAAGAATACTCAGAGTGGGTGTATTTTGGGCTGATAACATCATCAACAATGTTAATGTTGTTGTTGGTACAATGGATAATTTATTCTAAACAGAGAAAACGACGTGCATATACTAAGAAAATAGATGCTATTTTGTACTGGAAGCAAGTTTCTTGTTAATGTTTCAATTAAGTTTATCATACATCAGCTTTGATTTGTGTCGAGTGTTATTGCATGCTAATTTTTGGATCTTGATTTTACGCCATAGTTGTAATGATTGAGATTAGCTTAAAAGGATTAATAGTACTACTCATACCAAATAAATGCATCTTCTTTTAAGGATCTCACATACTAAGAATTCCAATCTAAGTTCTTGCATGGGAGTAATCTTTGGGTGGGTGACCCCCCCGAGAAGTTTCTCATGGCGCACACGAGTGAGGATAAAGTGTGCGGTAAAAAGGCTCTTATTGGTTTGTAGAACAATACTAGGTATGGAATGCATTAGGAGTAACTAGCTTGGACCCCGTGTGGTCGGGCTTGATGGATATCTGACCTTGGGAGTAGGCGGAATCCGGGGAATGAGAGACTGGAAGTGCTAAGTAAATGTGAGTATGAATTCCGACAGAGTAATGGTAAGTTGTGCGCAAGAAATCAGATCCCTTTCCACAAGCTGGAAGGTGATATTTATACTAAGAAGGTAATACTTGGTATCCAAGTACTCTATAAAAGATGATATTCTACTGTGGTGGCAACACATGTAATGATTGGCTATCAAGTAAAATATGCTACTATAATTTCACGGTGACACGTGTAAAGTTGATTGGCAAGAGAATGTGGACAACTGGATGATTGGTACTATGCATAACAGAATTTGTTCTTTATGTACCAGAGCGCATGTCCAAGCCATACGTGTGCAATCCTGAATATCCTGTACTAACCGTTTGAATGACGTAAGTACTGAACAGTTGTTGTGCAGGTGACGTGGCTATAGTTACTTGCAGAACTTGACTGCTGAAATGTTTAAGCCCATGATTTCCTTACGAGGTCCCAAGCTCAGCAGGTGAGGTCGATCTCGGGTGCAGTGTGCTTCCTTTGGAGGAAGGAAACCTTAGTTTGTTGTATGAATACTGCAATGCTTTCTCTGTTCTGTTGACTTCGCGGAGCGCTAATTGACCCCAAACTCGATTATGACGCCAGATTTGGCATTAACCTCGGCGAGGATTGACCTCGGCCTCAGATGCAGTTTTGGCCTTATCTCGGTATTCTGGGAATCAAATGCTTAACCTGATCTCGGCCTAGATCGAGCTCGGCCTCGGTAGGGAAATGACTTAGCAACTCCTGGAGATCATTTATTCTTGAGCGTTAATATCCCTAGGGTATATGGGAATATACTCCATCATGAGTCCCCCACTCTCTGAGGCGAAAGTCACACTTGAGGTGATAGAGAGTAATTCTTTAACTTCTGGGCTGGCACGCACGACAATATGTTGATCTAGTGGATATCAGATAGGCACTTAGAAGGGAAGGATTATGGGGAGTGATAGAGATTGGTTTATGGACGTAATGAGGACGTTGAGTTCCTAAGTGAGGGTGATTGTACTACTTGATATTAGTTTAATAGGATTAATATTAATACTCATATTAACATGGTGTATCTCCTTTTATGAGCTCATGTACTAAGAATTCCAACCTGGGCCTGCTTGCACAGGAGTAATCTTGGGATGGTTGATCACCTGAGAAGTCTCTCAGGGCGCACATGAGTGAGGACAAAGTGTGCGATAAAAGGTTCGTGTTGGTTTGTGAGGACAATTTAAGTCTGGAGCGCATTTAGGAATAATTACCTTGGACCCCGAAGAGTCGAGGTGTTACATTAGTTGTGAAATATTCATATTTAGTTTAACAATATTGAGCAGATATGTTGGATCACCTTTCGAGGACAATCAAACTACTAAGAGTGGGTAATAATTATAGGAAAAACTTTTTCTGCAAAAATAAAATTAGGTGATGGAAATCCGAACCTGGGGGTGACCGGAAAACCGAGTAAGATAGAGAGATTGAAAGTGTAAAGTGTAATTGAGTAGAAAATTGGGCAGAGTAACAACAAGTTTGAGCAGAGAAAATCGGATCCCTTTCAACAGGCTTGAAGGTGATATTTATACTGAAATAGAAATACTTGGCGTCCAAGTATAAAAGATGTTATTCTAATATGGTAATGACATGTGTAATACTTGGCCATCAAGTAAAATATGCTAGTCTAATAACAAGGAGACGCATGTAAAGCTTGATTGGCCAGAGAATGGAGACAGCTGCTGATTGGTACGGCGCCAAACTGATTTGATTCCATCATACTGGATTGTGCAATGGAGCAACATGTGTACCCCTAGAACCTTATGTGCATAACTGCCTGGGTGAGATCAGCTCTAGACAACTGTTGTGTTGATGGCGTCATCATTGATGTGTATGCGAAACTTGAATCCTGGAAATAGCTAAGTCCATAATTAATCTTCCCCGAGGCCACAGGCTCTATTGAATTGGACTCTGGGACAACATAATGATTTAGGATGAGGGCGGCCTTATCTCACTTAATGGAACTTGAATGCTAAAATGGTTAAGTCCTCAATGTTCTCATAGGCCAAAGGTTCTGATGGTCCCTGGTAAAAGTCTGGGGGTGAATAGACTTTTAAATCTTTTTCGATTTAAGATCTCTTCAATCTTTGTGAGTTTGATCCTTAAGACCTTTTGAGGGGTTTAGGATCAGCAACGGAAGACTTGACTTTTGATAGACACACTGAAAAGTTTAAGAAGGTTGTTTTCTGGAAAATGAAATGAGATAGAATCAGTAGGCTGCTACAAACTGGCTTTTGAGGAGGCTGTTTTTTGGGAGTAAGTTAAGGCTTTGATATGTGATTAATAGCTTAAGAAGAGTGACACACTGATGTATCCTGGTTCGGAGGTGGTGTAATCCTCCTACATCCAATCCCACCCTATAAATGGTTTTCCACTCAGCTATTAACCAATACACTTAGTGACCAGTTTACCCATGATCATAATCATAAGCTATCAGGTTTTCACAATGAGTATAACCCACTCCAAGTTACTCTTGCCTCTAGGTTTTTCACTAATGAACCGAACTGATTCAAGAGCTACTCATGTCCTAACTCCTAGGTTTTTCACTAATGAACCGAAATGATTCAAGAGCTACTCATATCCTATTCTACCTACTCTTTGGATTTGTATCACAAATTCTTCCAAAGGTGTTACAACTCCTTTCCAACTATTCTAGGCTCTAGTATGAATATTCAATGTCAACTAGTGTAAGAGCTTAAAGATATGTGAACGAGCTAAGAATAAAGTGATGATTTAGCACTTTATCTTTTGCAGGATTTTCTAGAGATAGTTGTCTTGATTGCACTAAGCTCGTTGAGTCTTCTTCGTCACATACCTTGGGTATTTATAGACTTTTGGTTGTTGAATATCTCCCGTTTGTTGAGGATATTCAATCTTGAACGATGATGCATCCACTTGATCTTCTTTCTTCGGCATGCTCTCTTTTTGTCTTGACTTGGAGTAGTTTGAATCTCTTTCTGTTCTTTTCTTGAGCCCATGCTTACACTTGTATTGAATAAGAGAGTATGGGTTGACTTTCAAAAGTTATCTCAAAGTCTCAGCCCACTTGTTTGTTTAAATCTCGTGACTTTCCATTTTAGTCAAGTTGCACATGTAAATAATTTTTACTTTGCCTTTTACTGTTAGTATCCTTGGGAATTTTTGACGTACCTAGAAATAAGGGAATGAAAATCAGCTACCTGGATATCAGTAGGCAACTGATTTCCATTCATTCAGTCAACTCTTTTTATTACCTTTTTCTTTTCTTTGTTTTTGATACTTCTTCTTTTGTTCGTACTTTCTTCTGCATGATTACGTGAACTACAAAGTACATGATCAAGTTTAGTCTATAATACTTGCATCATCAAAACCCAAAGGGACCTAATGGTCTAGAGCTCGGGGATAGTTTATTCAATTAAGGAGAATGTGACCTCAACTTGCTTAATCAAAGCTCCTTTTAGCTCTTTGACTCTGTAGGCGGTTAGTTGAGTTCAAGTTTAGCCATAGCGTTGACTTTGGCGTTGACCCAAGTAGGCGGCGAGCTTGGGCTCGACTACAGTTTTGGACTTATCTCGATAATATGAGGGCCAAATACGGAACCGGGCTCAGTGGACACGGGCTCGATCTTGGATGCAGATATGGACTTATCTCGGTGATCTTAGAACTCATTCTGGGAACTGACCTTGGTGACACAGGCTTGAGCTCGGCGGCAACTTCGTAGTTAGTAATTTTAGGAGATTGTTGACCCATAAATGTTGATACCCTTGGGGTATTGGGGATATACTCCATCACTAGGTTTCTCGATGGGACGATCATATTATCGAAGGTTAAAGGAGGCATTAATGACTTTTTGAGAATTAACTCAATGTTGATTGCATGGATCGTGACCGCGTAGTTGATCCATCTTTACCATTAAATTATCACTTGTATAGATACAATGTATAACTTGTGAGAGGATTTGCAGCTACGATTTGAAGTGTTTGGTGCAATGTGACTCCACCAACAAAAGGATGGTTTCATTTGGACAAAAGATGACAAACTATTATGGAGACTAATGATGTTGTGGGACTACTACGTTGATTACACAAGCTTCCACGATGTACAAGTAAGAATTCTACTTGCAATATCGGGGAAACTTTCTTGATAACGGTGAAAGATGAGAATACTAGTTCATAATCCAACATCTTGAGCATGTATACCTTTCCGCCACTAAGAAAGGTATACCAAATAGTTATCCCAGGGTAATTACACTAGAATGCAAGTCATGTTCAGGAAGCTAGAGTGATGTTGTTTCTTTTGTCATCCAATGTGTTGCATACTAGATCAAATCTTCTAAGGAATAGAAGGGCAAATTTCTTTATTATTATTGTATAATTGATGCACACATTGGAGAGAACTATTTAGAGCTAATTGAGAAGTACCTGATTGGTGGTCCGCTAACAAAGGGGTCATGGAAATGGCTGACTCTTGGGCCTTCATTCACATGAAAGGGGTAATAGATCGCAACCATAAGTTGCAAAGACACATCCCTTTAACAAAAACATACAACGTTTCTGGATGTTCCAACCTAGACCGCAACATACTTTCAGTATTACTAATGAATATTGGATTGCATCCCTGTGTTTGTCAACATCA